TTTAAACTCTTCCCAAGACGGCAATAATTAACCCAAAGCTTTCCGGAAAATTACTCGATAATCTTGGCTCGTTAAGCTGAATTAAGACTGTCTGCAAAATGACAAGCGCTTTATAAATTGCCAGGACAAAGTCGGAGCTTAAAGAGTGGCCTTGTTTTGGGCAAATGCACATGGCGTATTACCACCACCGCCACAAGCCTTTTTACTGGAAACGTAACACGAAAGCGTTATCAGAATAACCGCCGGGGAAAATTCCGCCACTAAAGCCGACCGAGGAGATAAAGTTATTTATTACATTGGCGAATGGCGAACCCAAACCTTTATAAACAAGTTCAGAATTGACGTGACGGGAAATCCGACTGTCGGAAAAATAAATATTATGAGATTTTATTGGTTCTTCAAATGGTAGTGTAGTTTGAATGTAAATTTTGGCTTGATAACTTACTCCCCGTTTTCAAATTTCGTAGATTTGGAGAACGAAAAATGTCGGAGAGGAGATCAAGCTAAAGCATAAATTTAATAAGATGGATTTGTATTTTGTGTAAATTGGAATGAAAAAAATTTTTCATGAGAAAACTCTCTTTTGTAACGTGATTGAGGTAATGAAGTTGAAAAGAAAAAAACTATATAAACTAGTTTAAATTACGTTCACAATATTTTAAGTTGACAAGTCTGTTTCCTCTACGTTTAAACTTAGTAGAAATATTAATGTTAATAATAATTTAATAATTAATGGTAAAGCACTTTCTTTAACAAGAGCTGTAAATTAGTTGCAATTTCTTATGTATTATAGTATTTTTTTTATGGCCACTATACGTATAAAAAAGTTCTACAGGGTGTGACCCAAAAGTAAACCGCCATATGCCAACCAGTGATAGACATTCTGAGAAGTCTCAATTCTCATTTAATTGATTCTGTCAATGTGACATAAACATAAACATGAGTCCGAAAGCGATTCATTTATGAAATCAAAAAAAATTATTTGAAAAAAATTGAGAATTAAGTAAAGACGTAGACAAAAATTGCTCAAAATGCATTCTATTACTTCTAATGCATGCTTCTGAGCGCCTAATCAACCACATTAACAATCAAAACAATCAACCACATTAATAAGCTCTTGAAATTCATTGTTATTCTTTGTTAAGCTGTAACTCTCCTTCAAAAAAAAGGATTCTTACCAAAATGACTAGTAGTTAACTGATTAGTTAACAATCAAATAATAATTATTGCAATAACCATAATCGTAATCACACTAATCATAACCTTTGTATACACACGTTTAATTATTTCTCCAATAACTTTAAACACTACTGAAATCAAAAACAAAATAATTAGACCTAATAATTCAACAATCCTATTCATCAACTCAGTCACCTTAACTGGACTAGTATTTTGCACCATAATGTTTAACTTGATGTAAGGATTTAAGTTAAACCAAACTAAYAACCTTCAAAGTTGTAAATAGAATGTTTCTTCTAAGTCTTAGGCTTAAGAAACCATTCACCTTCGGATTTGCAATCCAATATCATAATTGACTATGGTGAAGAAATATATATATTTGTCTGTAAATTTACAATTAACCGAGTATCGAGCGATCAAGAGTCATCCTTGGATCCGAAAACGTATGTCTGTAAAATGTCAAGTAAAATAACAAATTGAAAGGTAAAATGATCAAAAAGGTGATGATTAAAATAACTAAATTTATAATTTACCTTTAAAAAAGAACGGTCCTCGTAGCCCATTTTGCCGTTTTACCTTTCGACTTGTCATTTTATTTGACGTTTCACGTGCAGTTAGTTCAAAAACAGACATACGTTCTCGGATGTAAAGATGACTCAATTAGAAATTATCTTGATTGCTCGATATTATTTAAACTTTTTTTCTCAGAATGACATTCTCTATAACTGTTTGACGTATGGCGGTTTGCTTTTGGGACACCTATATATTAATTAACATTGGCATATTATAATTTATATTTTTATTCTATTTTAGTCAATAATCATCTTTACACGCCCCCAAATGAGGGCATAAATTAGTTTTTGGAACAGATTTGTCAGAAATCTGGCAAACAACGGTTGGTTTAATTATTCAAACAATGGTATCAAAACTTGTCATATTCTTTCACATACAAATCCTTTGATTTATGGGGAATCAATTTTCCCTGAGCAGTTTCAATTTCTTCTAAAATTTCTTCTGAATATACGCTTTCTGCTTCAATAACGTTCATTTCGAAAAATGACTTTTTTTTTAAACAAACGCAGAAACTTTAACAACATGAAAATAGCTAACTTTCTACACAACACTGAAATTTGCATGAACACAAATTTTAGTTGATTTCCTTGTTTGAATCTTTTAGAAATCATAAAATAGAATAAAACGTTGTATATACCACGGGCATAATTGTCGATTATGGCCTTAATACATAAATAACTATTACTCCAACTTAGATTTTCTGATTTTCATATGTAAAAATTAACACAAGTCGTGATCTTGAATTGTCACACTTAAATAAATTCTCAACAAAAATTTTGAAAAAGCCTTACAATTGATCGTTTTAAACTTACAAGGATCTCGTGATCCAAATTACAACAATAAATCGTCCACTGGCTAAATTAAATTTGAAAGACGAATGTTGTTCTCTTGTCTCAACAGCAAAAGACCAAACGTCTTTTTCAATTTTTTTCACGCATTTGTAACAAAATATGTAGTTTATACCAATGGAAAAGGTAGCGTAAATTCTATTAATTTTAAATGTTGTGAATACTCGGTAAGTATGAGAGTAGTGCTGTACAAAAAAATATTTCCAAAATTTGTAAAAGAGGTTTTTTATTAGGATAATTATTTGTATTAAAATATTTCAAAATAAAATGTATGGAAATTGTTTGAGTGCTTAATTAGGTATTAAAATACTGGCTCTAATTCTAAATATTTATTTCTTTAGTGAACTGTAGACATAACAATTCTTCCAAGATTGTGGGTTTGTCCTAAAACTACCTAAAACCTAAACTATTCTAAGGGTGAGTGGGGGTCACATTGAACCCACAACTGTACGGAGGTAATTAATTAAAACTGGCGATATTTCATATCAGTAACTAATTATTGATAGCATATATTTTGAGAATTTTGGTAAATTTTTTTGATAATAAATGAGGCCGTAACAGTTTTGTGTGTTTTATGAATACTTTGATATCACAATTACAAATTTTGACTTAGTTAGCCTAATAATCGCTTTTTTTTTATTTAAACACAAACCAGATCCGTGGTTTATTACAAAATGGTATAATTTGCCAACAAAAGAATCATTTACTAGTAGTCGACAGCTTTGAAGGGTCTTTTTGTTGTAAACCTTGGAATCTTACCCTAATTGCAGTTCCCCATTGTCACCTAAATTTACGATGGCACAAGGAGTAGGTCATAAATAAAAATGATTTTCAAAGTTAAGATGGAAAATTGCGTTTAATTCAAAATCTAATTGCTATTTTTTTTCTGATTTTGTAAACAATCGTAGGAAGTGAATCTGCGTAGGTCAGTATAAAAATTAGAATCAAACTTTTTGGGAGAAAATTACTTTTTTTTGGTTTTGTTTGTAAATGAAAAATTACTAAAAAATCAGGGATTGTACCTTACCAATGCCCAGGTAAATGTGAAAAAATTCATCAATTTTATTTAATTAGAAGTGGGAATTTTTTTTCTGTGCGTAATGGATGCCGCAAGTCCTTAACGTTCATGTTGCTTATAACGTTTTTTGCACGATAGAAACATTTTTACCTTAATCTGAATAAATTATTTGAATAAAAATGTCAATTGTGTCATTTCATTTTTACCTAAAGTGTCTCCACTGTGTTTTACGAATTGTTATAAATTGAATAAATTATTATTAACAATAATTCAGACTGATGTTGCCTAGACGAAAGTTTGTTGATAGTTTGAAAAATACACCATTGAAAAAACAGTTTGGAGCATTTCATGAGTTTTCTCAAGAAAAATGTGTGATCCAGACCCGAACAAGCTTGGTACATTGGTGGTTCATCACTAATTCCTGAAAAATCAAGAATTTTATATGAAAATGCCTATAAAATCTTTAAAAGCTAGTGTGAGGAAAAGAGTTGTGAAATTACTGAAAAAAAAACTACTGAAGACGCCGGAGGATTTACGTTGAATTCAGCAACAATTTCTGTTAGCGCTACTACCAAAGAAGCCAGTGGAAGTACAATTAGTAATTGTAGTAGTTATACGTTTAATTTAATTATAAAATAATTTGTTGGGAATATAATGTTTATAATAATGTTTATGTTATTAATAAATGTTTTGTGGATTTTATCTGATTAATGTTTGAAATTACTTACCGTTCTCTTTATCATTGAGACCAGTAAGTACAACATACCGGTCTCGAAACAAACGCGATAACTAACTTAAAGCGTTCTATCGTGCAAAAATATTTATTAGCAAGGGTGATTTATTTAAATTTGTCGCAAAGAAAACAAAACTTGAAAATCAAGCCTATTTTTCACCTGATTTGTTACATTAACGAGATAATACATATTATTAGAAAAATACAATAAAATTGAATGAGTAATAATAGCAAATTGAAAAATTGGATGAATGAATTTTGTATGGTTTTATCATTTATCATTAACACTTCATCGTAATTTTAGTAGTTTTAAAAGTAAGTAATAACAGAAAATTGTTATTGTAACAAAAGAGTGTTAATTTGGTATTGAAATATTGTCTTCTTAAATAATAACTTGGCTACCAATTGGACAAAAAATAACAAGACTTGTTGTTATAGTTTTTTATAAAGCTGAAATAGTAACTCGTTTATTTCGGAATTTTTGTTAATGTTTTATTCAAACAGCTGGCCGGATTAATCCGGGACCCAATGCGTCGTTCCGGTTAGCAATTGACACGCTTTAATAATCCATTACTCTCGTCCCGAATAATTCTATAAATCTATTTCCGGTCGACAATTGGCAATTATTCGACCACATTTCACGTTGCAGTATTGTCGTTGCGGCTGGAACGTTCGGTCACCCTCAGCACAACCCCAACCCCCGACGACGACGATGACGAATGGGACGACGATGATTCGTCAGAAATCGAAGATGACGGCAAGATTTATAAGAATCCAAGGAACTCGCCTTCGACGCTATGCCCCCGAGACGACGCCCAAGCCACCCAACTGGTATTATTAAAATCTAACAGTGACAGCTTTTAATTATTTCGTAAAATTCATTAAATTCTGATACGATCTGAAGGAGCAACCAAATTGGATCATAATCTAATTTTCAGGGACATAGATGTCTGCGAAAGTGCTCCTCGGACGAAGACTGCAAGAGCAAGAAGAAGAAGTGCCTTTGTGATGGAGCTTGTGGGATGTCGTGCATCAAACCGGGTAAAACTCTACAGAGTGTTCCGTCTAAACTCCACATTAGAAGTATTGGGAGTTGGAATAATCGTATTTATATGAAAATTGGCACATAGCCATAAACTATTAAGTCCTCCTAAATGAAAATATTTTGAAGATGGTGGCACTTCCGGTTATACTGGAAGTCGGTTTCAACTTTCTTATTTTTAATGGAAAGGTATAATTTTTACTGCGTTTTTGGATTAATCGGGTTATTTTAAAGGAGTTTTCATCAGCTTTCCCTATGCCTAAATTTAGCCGTTTTTGAAATATTTGGAATTTTTCAAAAATTTTTGGATCTGCACCTTCCACTTTAAAAACCGGTAACTCTGCCATTTTTTAAGATTTTGAATTAGTTTTTTTGGCGTTTGAAAGAGAAAGCTTAGATCTTTTTTCTGGTGTTTTCAAATTGTGAAAAAAAATAACATATCCCAAAATTGTAAGGTTACTTTTGTAATAATTCAAATACTCATAACTCAATTTTTTCAAATGAAATACCCCAATTTATATTTTAGAGAATTTAATTGTGCATTGATCTGTATTAACATTCCCTATACCTAAATTTAATAATTTTCAAGTTATGGACTTTTTTTAAGACCACAGAAAATTTATTACTAGCTACACCCGTTTTCACATAGTTTGCTATGGAAATCAAAAATGTAAAAATTTTCTAAAACAAACACAGCCCTACGCCAAAATTTGCTGGCTAACCCATTTAGGGAATTTTATTTTAGTATATTACCAATTAACAGTAAATTACTATTTGACAAATAGTGCCAAAATATGAAGAATCAAAGTTATGCAAACTTAATTATTATTGATAGGTTCTACCATGCGATCATTATTTAACAAGTGAGAAAAAATTATTTTTGTTTAATGAACGACATCATAATTTTGTTACACTCTCCATAAATACAAAATAAATTCATTAAATCTAAGTTTGAGTAGCTTTGACTCTCCACATTTTGGCACTATCGACGTTTATTGAGAAACAATTTTGACATTTTTGATTTCCATAGCAATCTACACGAAAACGGCTGTGGCTAATAATAGATTTTCGGTAGTTTTAACAAAAAGTCACCATAATTTAAAAATTATTAAATTTTGGTAAAGAGAATGTTAATACAGATCGATGCAGAATTAAATTCTCTTCCATTTCGTAAAAATTGAGGTATTGCAGTTGGAAAAATTGAGTTATGGGTATTTGAATTATTACAAAAAAAGCTTAAAATTTTAGGGTTTGTTAACGTTTTTTTCAAAATTTGAAAACACCGGAAGAAAGATCTAAACTTTCGCTTTCAAACGCCAAAAAAAACGAATTCAAAATTTTAAAAAATAGCAGAGTTACCGATTTTTAACGTGGAAGGTGCAGATCCAAAAATTTTTGAAGAACTCCAAATATTTCAAAAACGGCTAAATTTGGGTATAGGGCAAGCTGATGAAAACTCTCTTAAAATAACCCGATTAATCCAAAAACGCAGTAAAAAATATATCTTTCTATTTAAAATAAGAAAGTTAGGACCGCCTTCCGGGATAACCGGAAATGCCGCCATCTTGGAAATATTTTCATGCATTATGGCTATGTACCAATTTTCAAACAAATATGATTATTCGAACTCCCAATACTTTTAAAGTGGGGTTTAGACGGAACACCCTGCATAAACGATGAGGATTGGGTGATGGCTCATGTTGGATTACAGATAGGGAATGTCCAGAACCTGAACAGATCCCTTTTGGTAGTGTAGCACACACAGAAAGAGTCTTCGGATCCAAAGCGACCTATTCATGTCAACACGGTTATCATGTTGTCGGGTTACAAAGTCGAACGTGTCAAGCCGACGGGAAGTGGGCTGGATCGGCGCCTGTTTGCAAGCAAAATAGTAAGTAGAGAATTAAGAAAATGAGTTCAGAAAAACAATTTAGGAAAAATAATGTGAAAACTTAAGTGCTTGCTTTTAAATTAAGAGTACATTAGATGCGGTGGCTTGGAAAGTCTTAGGATTATCTTAAACATAAAAATGCTCGGCAGTACATGCTTACAATAAATGCTTATAAGAGATCAATTAGCATTAAAAATTACAAGGTTTAATAAGAAAATAATAAAGTACACTTAAAATGTAAATTTAATACTGCACATAGGTCTAATACCAATTTACAGTTAAATTCCATTGCGTTTCTAGAATTCTCCATTTACAAAAATGTTCTTTCCTGAGTACTCTTGTACTTGCATTTCTTTCGCTAATGTTGTAATAAATTAAATTCAGGCACAAAGTGCTACAGTAAATTTATCTCCCAAGTCTGTGCGATTAGAGGAAAATTCTATCAAGCAAGCGAAGAAATGTGTCAGAAGAAGATACAATGTCTTAATGGCAATGTTTATTGTTTAAAAATCTAATTTGTATATTATAGTTTAATACATTTTTTGTCCTTTTCTTGAAAGAATAGCTTTCTGTGGCACTGTAGAACATAATTGTGGAAGTATAATAAAGTAAGTTAAAGACCTCAATTTATTTTAATAACATTTAGAAAATATAAAAGTTAAGTTAAAGTAATTTTTTTTTTGAGGAAATAATGAAAAGAGTTTCACTATTAAGGAAATCCTTATCTGTGTTTAATAAAAGTCATGCATCAAAAAAAATTGAAAACTGTGTCTACATTAATATAATTACAATAAATTAGATTTCCAAACTTCATTTTTTTTGTAAAATCAAAAGCAATGTTGAATTAAAAGGTGAGATAAAACTGACGAACCATAATTAAAGTTGTTCATATAGTTATCAAAAAAGTCATTAACTAAAAGCACTGCGATGGAAAATCTCCACTGAAAACATAATTTAAATACGATTTTTATATAGTATAGTCTATATTCCTGAAAATTAAAAGTCTTAAGTCCGCTTTATTCAGTTGGTGAAAAATGCATACATTCAGAATACGTTCTACATTCAAAAAAGCAAATTTAAAATAATAAGCAAATAAAAAAAGAAAAAAAAAAGAGATCCTAATTAAACATAAAAAATACAAATTAACTCACAAAAGTAACAAAAAATTAAATAAATTTTTGATACTTTTTATTGTTACAAATTTAAACAGGAGATTTTCTATGAACATGTCGAAAAATGCTACGCAAATGGTGCGACTTTTAAAAGGTTTTTTTTTTCAATATATCCGAAATCATTTTAGAAAAAAAATTCAAAATTTGGTACAGATGATAACTTTTATACACCTAATCAAGTACAAAAATAAAATGTTGAGATTTTTAATTAGGGGCTTCCCAAACTAGATAGGATTAGGGTAAAAATTTACTCTAACTATTTTGCCTGTGGTTTTTTGCCACTTTCAGCAACAAAATTTCACAGTTTTTCAAAAAAAAAGGTCTTTTGGCGTTTTTCCAATACAATTTACGGATTTTTAGTAAAAATCTGTTTAAAAATTTATGTTACAGACCATAAACAGCATAAAAATTAAAAATTAAATTTGTTTTACGGTTTAGGACGCCCCTGATTAAAAGTTTTGTTATTTGGCATTTGTTTAGGTGTACATATAAAGATACCAAATTTTGTAATTTTATCTATACTGAAATATTACGAAAAACCCTTTAAAAAACGTACCTTTTTTAGGGGGTGTAGCTTTCTTTAATTGCATTTTTCGAAACACTTTTGTCTTAAAATTAAATATTCTATCAACTATTTAAATTTGTACCTAACAATAAAAATGAAACACTGTATAATTAACACATGAAAAATTGATTCACAAAAATTTAAAATTAACTCACTAAAATAACAAAAAAACTAAATTTTTACCACTTATAACACTATATAACAAAGTGCTCAGCATTTCGGGGGTGGTTTGAACCCCCTAATCTCCCCCCTTGGGTACGGTCCTGAGAATGTATAATCAAAAACTATTGTCGGTGGTGATCCAATAAATCATGCAGAATAGATTGATAAATGTTTATTGATAAATGAAAAAGTAAAGTTCAAAAACCTTTTATAAAAATTAACATTAAACATTTATCTCAAATGCAAAAATATGGTGGATGCTCCGGGTTAGTTATTCTTTGGCAATTCCATTTCTAATAAAAAAATAATTAAGGCAACAATTAAAATTTATTAATTTTATTTGCAACACTAATATCTTATACTGTTTGTATGGTGTATTTAAGTAAGTATAAACAAAACATAAGAAGCAAGCCTTATGTTGCCGTAAATATACGCTCTTGTATAATATTCGTGGTCAATCATAAGTACATAAATTGCACTTATTTTGGCATTTTGTCAATTTTGACAAATTTCTTTATAACAATTTCTGAATTTAGTAAAATTGCTGATCCAATATTAGTTTTGAAAAAATTTTTGAAGATAACGCAAATTTCATAGTTTAAAAATCTCGAATTATTAAATTCTCGCTCCCCAACTGTTCTCAAAATTAAACTACAAACTCGATTTTTAAACTGTCTATAAAACTCTTGTTGTCTACAGGAGTTTCGTTTTTATTGTTGTTTTAGCGCTACTCCCTCTAAAAGGGGTGCGTTTTATAACGGGGTTTTTCCACTATTTCAAAATAGATAAAATTACAAAAATTGATACAGCTGATAACCTTTAAAAATCTGAACGCATTCAAATATAAAATATTGAAATTTATATTTATGGGTGTCCTAAACTGGAGGAGTTTACCGTAAAACGGATTTAATTAATTTTTTATGTTGTTCAAGGTTTAAACATTAATTTTAAAATGATTTTACTCAAAAGGGTAAGTTGCATCGAAAAAACGCAAGAGACCTTCTTTTTGTAAAAAACTATCTAATTTAGAATTTTGTGGCTGAAAGTGGCAAGAAATTGCAGCTAAAATAGTTATTAAAAACCACACAGTTTAGGACGCCCCTGATTAAAAATTTCGACATTTTATCTTCGAATTCGTTTAGATGTACATATAAGGGTAATTACTGGTACCAAATTTTATAATTTTATTCAAAATGGTTTTTGAAATATTAGACAAAATCCATTAAAACATGCACCCCTCTCAGGAAGTGTAGCTCCGTTACATAGTATTTTTCGGAAACTTTTACCTATCTCAAAATTAAATATTCTCTCATGTAACATTAAATACAAAACACCCTGTATAATACAATTATAGTCTGTTAATTAAAGTTTAATCGAGGTCACAAATGTGTTCGAGTTATAGGTAGCTGAAAAACTTGCAAAATTGAAAACAAGTCATTAAATTACTTGAAAAATTGCAAATATTTACTGACTTATTTTATAAAAAACGTTTTTCGTAGAACATATTAAAGTGACTCTGAAGCATGCTCTTCTGAAAGAATTTCCGACATCGAAAGCACATCAAAAGAAATAGAAATTCCTTGTGAATATTTTTCCATTCGAGTCGTAAAGAATCCATAGGCAAAGTGCAAGCTCGCGTCTGGATCTGTTCCGCACTTTCCGAACAAATATTTCCAACCGTAACTTCTCGAAGAGAACTTAAAGTAATGAAACCCACCATTAAATATTTTTTATTGATGGAAGTTTGAAAATAAACCAAGATTTTATTTCCTACATCCTTCTCGACAAAATCCGGAAATACCCGATATAAATCAGGACATTTTTCATACAAATCCAAGCCGTCACTTCACTTATGAGATTTTGTTGAGGAGATTAGGAACAGATTTAATAAAACTATTAAACTTTTAATTGGTTAGAATAAAAAAAACGATTGTAAAGTAAATTACGTTTGAATATGACTCAGTAATTGGATTCAGCTATTTTCAACAAATTTATTGGGAATTTAAAACCCGTGTCGGTTTGAATAAAGCTGGGATTAATATCATACGTCGAGGTGGAATGAGGACGCAGTAAAAAACATCGTCTGGATGCTTTGGAACAATTTATTATTAACGCACTCTGCCCCAATAATGTCGACGAAGATAGTAAACTTTGGGTTAATTAATTAAATAATTAATATGGTCGATAAAAAGTTCTTTCTCATTTAGTATAAAATTAGGGAAGCACATTAAAATAAGTTTAAATTATCTGTACATTGTTACAAAACTTTTTCCATTTCATTAGTTCACGTTGTTTTAACTAGATCTATTAGTCGAAATAAAAAAAACTATCACTAGTATCATAAACTTATATTTACTATAGTTGCAAAATTTTATTACTTCCACATACAGGGTGTTTGTGGATTGCGAGCAAATATTTTAACCACTAAGAGAATTTGTTATGAAATTCCGTATCCAAATTTTATTTTGCAATTTCCCCCCTATTTTCACGAGCCGTTCAGTGTGTCTGTCGTTGTTAGTTGGAAGTAAAAATATCAATGAAACTAAATTGCATTGAATGTTGACCGTGAAAGTTTTTATACAGAAAAAAGGAAACTTTTTGTCCAAAAAAATTATCACTTGTTTTCACGTGTCAGTTTAGTTAGTCGTTAATGCACTTTCGGGTGAATTGTGCACATCGATTTGAAATCAAATTGTCAATCAAGTCATTATGGCCAACTACTCAAACGCCAAATTAACTAGTGTACGAACATTACACTTCCAAGACCGATTTTCACTAAATGTTTGGGCAGCGATCATTAAGATCACCAAATTGGACCCCACATATTACCTCAACGTTTAACTAGTGCCGTTTATCTGGATTTTTTGGAAAATGTGTTGTCCGATTTGGTGGAGAATGTGCCCTTGTCGACACATGCGGTATTTACAAGTGGAACTCCATCAGATTATGCCAAAGTCGTCACCAATGGATTGAACAATCATTATCCCTAGAGATGGATTTGTCGCCAATGACCTCGCTGGTCGTGTGTTTTTTGGGGGTTCACATGAAACAATTAGTGAATTAGTGTATGCAGCTCAAATTTATACCTTCGAAGGGCTCTGTGTGCGAACGCAAGCTTCCCTAGCCCGAAGAGTACAAGAAGTGTGCATTGCCAACGAATGACCACATTTCGAGCAATTTTTTATAATAGCAAGTATTGACCCACTAACATTGACACTGATCTACGCTAATGTAGCGATAATTTTTTTGTCTTTACGCTGTTTACGTTACAAAGTTTTTTCTTATGAATGATTGTAAACATCGTATTAAGACATAGGCGGGGACGGGTCTTCAGCCTCAATTTATTTTTAATTTTAACTCAGAAATGACGTGCTTTCGACAAAAGTTGGAATAACCAAAGTTGTTTCTTTTGACGAGTCCTATTAGTGGTTAAAATATTTGCTCGCAATCCTCAAACACCCTGTATAATCATTTATTTAATAAAATTCATTTACTGACATATTTATTATTATACAGAGTTGACAGAAAATTTGAAAACCTTGTAATGTCGACGTTTTTTTTATGAAAATTTGCTTCAAGATATTTTTTTAAAGCAACATTTTAGTTTTTTTTTAAACATACGTCTGCATTAAAACTTTAAAATACAAAGACTGCAAATTAATCGTAACCTATGAGTAGATATGAGTAGGAATTTAGAAAAGCTCCTAGAGCTACATTTACGTCGCTATAACAATAATAATAATGGTCTTAGACTCTTGTATAATAGAGATTGTAATTGGGGATTTGCGAGAGAAATTATTGTACGAGTAGTTAGTTACCTTCCTTATCCCGGCGTAGCGCTTATTTCTCTTTTCCATGTTTGCCAAATGAGTAAACACAACTGTTTTGAGTAAAAATTCATTTATTAATTATGTTCAGGTATTTAGTATTTAGCTAAAATTATTATTAAAAAAAAACATGCCTTAATGGTATGTACTTGCACACAATTTATAGAAAACATGTTGCACCACATTCTCAAACAAACTAAAATTAGTTTGAGACAAATTGGCACTGTCAAAGACACTCTAGCCATTCTTGTTTTGTAACAGGTGTTCAAACTTTATAGTTCTAAACAACCTTTTTTAGACCAAGAAACTTAAGTGAATTTCATAATAATTCGTAGTTTACTGCTTGTCGCCTCCCACAATCGATCACGCTCGTCACAATGCCCTTCCGGAACAAACCACCTTTGATCTCGATTCAACTCTTCAGTACTACTGTCACACCGGCTACGTAACCAATGGGTTTCCTAGAGCGAAATGTTTGGCTATCGACGGACAAGCCTCCTGGTATGGTCCGGACATATCCTGCGAACGTAAGTTCTGTTCTTACTGAAAGTGACCAGATTCCTAACATTTTTTCGTACATTTCATAATTTCTTGAAAATAGGAAAATACGTTTGGTTTTAATAACCAATTTCATACTGACAAAAAAAAACCTATTGGACATCAAATGAAAATATTAGTGACAGTGTTCTTGCATGGATGAGCAGAGACCAATAATTTTTGTTTATTAGAATAACTATCATTTTTTAAATAGAAAGGAAAATGTTCCTAATTTTTTCTTATGAATGAATTAAAAGGTATGAAATTGTCATAAAATAGAGAAATCACTACGAAAATCACTACTAACTATTACAAATTACATGTCTTTCATATGAATATAATTAAATATAGTGGTGTGTAATTGAAAAACTTTGTAATCGAAAATCGAGTGAGCACAAGATTATTTACAACCCCCACATAAAATGTAACCGCATGTAATTAGACCCAAATTTACAACCACACCCGCCGACAAGCTGATGACACAGATGTCTTGAATTTGTAGAAGAAAATTTTAGAGATTTTTAAAATTGCTTTACAATCAATACCTTTCGCGTAAATGAAAATTATAATTTCACTACAATTGCAAGTTATATAAATGTTTTATAATTTATAATCCATAATTCTCATACATACAGACTACAGAATAATTATTCATTTCATTTCAAATAATTCATTTCAATAATTTTTGGTCTGTTTCTACTCTCGTATTCTTATTTAAATATTTGAAAACGGATTAACAAACCAGTTAGTTAACTATTTCCTTGAAAACAAGTCTTAGTCACCACTATTCAGATAACTACTTCTCTGAAAATTTACTAAATAAAAATTATTTCCTTTGATTTTTATTTATTTGTCCTCATAAGTAAACTAAATTGGCAATTATCTACGATAATATTAAAAGAATCCTAATAAAACATTAAAAAGTATAAAATTATATTTGCGAGCCAGACAAGAAAATCGTTTTAAAAAAATTTAAAATTTCTAAATCAAAAACAAAAGTGGATTGCGGCGCTTTTTTGAACTTTTACAACTAGCGAAATATAGATTGTTGTTATCCAAGTCGATAACTTCAAGAGGTAATCCAAAATTAAATAATTCGCAATCTAAAATCGGGTAGCAATATTACTACAATGCTAATAAAAATTTGAGCGAATTTATTCCTGAAAGCACCACAACAAAACCGTCTCCGCAAAGTTTCGATTTCATACAGATAACCAGCGTGCGGCAATTTGGGTGTTGTAAATTATGTTCTTCCACTAGATTGTCGTTTATGACTGCTACCGATCCCAGCTTGACAGCTGAACCAGTGTTGTAAAATTCTGAAGGCCAAGTTTGCTCCGGACGGGCCTTAATGTCTGTTTAGATTGTTAAAAATGAGTGGTGTAAATATTGTGTACAATCAGCGTAGAAAAGATTGTTCTCCTAATAAACCGCGCGAACCCTTAAGAGGCTGAACCCACAATCCACAACAATAAATCTTTTCCATTGTAAACGTCATTTCTTATTCAACAGTATACAGGATGCGCCAGAACTCGCGCCTCAGAGAAAAATTGCAAGCAAGATATGATAGAAAAAATGTTTAAAAAGTCTATCTGTCAAAAAATTTTGACGACATTTGACATTTTTTTATGTCTATTTAATGATACTGATGATGATAAAATACAGGGTGCGCCAGAACTCGCGCCCCAGAAAAAAAAGCCATATAAGGTAAGATACCAGGAACATGGAAAAAATGTTTAAAAAATTTTATCTATAAAAATATCGAAGTTATGAGGGTTTAAAGTTTGCACTTTGACTCTATTTATTTCTGTTGGAAAAATAATTTTCCAAGTTTTTTTGCTATAGGCTATTAAAAGAGGAAACAAGGAAGCAGTATCCTAAATTGTAACTCTGTTCAATGTTATTTGTGGCTTTTATTGGCAAAATTTTTGTCCCTTTACTAATTAATTGTAAAAAAACAAGATCATCAGTATCATTAAATAGATATAAAAAAATGTCGAATGTCAAAAATATATGTCAAAATTTTTTGACATTGAATTTTTTAAAAAAAATTTTCATGTTCCTGGTATTTTACCCTACTTGAAAATTTTCTCTGGGGTGTGAGTTCTGGCGCATCCTGTATACAATTATTTAGTAAAGGTACAAAAATTTGGCGAATAAAAGCCACAAATAACATTAAACAGAGTTACAATTTAGGATACTGCTTCCTTGTTTCCTATTCTAATAGCCTATAGCAAAAGAACTTGCAAAATTATTTTTCCAACAGAAATAACTAGAGTCAAAAATGCAAAATTTAAACTCTCATAACTTCGAAATTTTTATAGATAAAATTAACATTTTTTCTATGTTCCTGGTATCTTACCTTACATTTTTCTCTGGGACGCGAGATCTGGCACACCCTGTATTTAGTTTGAAGTGAAGTTCAGTTACCAATTTTATTTTCAATTGAGTAAATAACAAATTATTTAAAAAAAAATCAGAACTTTGTACTGCAACTAAAAATTTAATTAAAAAATAATTTAAATTGATGGTTAATTAGTTATTTATTTACTAACATAACAAGTAAATGCCCGTTTTAAATGGCATAATTAAATAAACAATATTATTCTTAGAAATAATACCTAATAAAAACTATCTATTACTAGGAATGAAAATKACCAAATCTAACCAGACTATTTAATATAACTCTATAAAATATTGATACTTAATATATTTTTTTGATAAAGTTGTAAATAACAAATTAAATAATTTCATTATTAATTTTTATTCAATTCAAACAGGTACACGAGCTAACTCTTTTGAACTGACTAAAAATAGTTTTTTTGTAAAATCGTCTTAAAATTAGGTCATTTATGCATTAATTTGCGGGCGTAAATAGTATCTTTTGCGCCCTAAGTCCTAAAAAACCAGCAATTGTAATATCTTTTATTGAAATATTTAATAATATTATAATAATATTTTACTGAAAACTGTACTATTTCCTTTCTCTCCAAAACTTTTGACTTTTTGGGTTTGTAGTTCTCATTTTGCCTCTTCAAGAATGCATATAAAAGCTTATATTGTTTTTATCGATACCATGCTTTAAAACCATAACCGAACGAATCATAGAATAATGGGACCATAAGGTAGATGGGCAAAATTTCTGCGACACTTCTGAAATAAACAAGTAAAACGTTTTCATTAATCTGGCGGTAAGCGATATTTTTCTGAGTGCACCATAGCAAAAATTCATTGAAAGTTTTCTCATAGATTTCTCTTGATTTTTGTGGCAATAACTCAAGTGTTACAGCTTTCGCTTCTTCGGCTAAAATAGCTATTTCTTCTTATTTTTCATTTTCGGACATATTTTTATCACAAATTCAACTTCTTGAAAAAACACAACAATAAATTTTTTCAGTATTTTGTTTTTATTTATTTGCATCACATTAGCAATTAATAACAACTCGATTTTTGAGAACGAATCGTGCCATTTATTTTCAAAGCTTAAAGGTGGATTTTACAAAAAATCTTATTTGCATTTCGGGTGTGAACGGCAATTTTGGCCCTTTGATGTCTTATAAACTCTCGGCTCTTCGGGCCTTGGGCTTATAATTCCGCCGTGGGCCAGAATTGCCTCCTTCAACGCCCTTAATACAAAAATAGCTATTTTTTTTAATAACCATAAGATATTTTTCTGCTAAAGAGAGCTAGTTTGGGTAAAAAGGACGTCTGGTCACGCTATTTATACTCAACCTCCGTTAATAAACTCCATTTGTAGCAAATTCCTGCGGCGCTCCAACTGACATATCTCACGGCTGGCATGCGGGTGAATGTTACACATACGGATGTCGAATAACTTACCACTGTGCCGAAGGTTACGAACTTGTCGGAAAAAATGAGCGTTTCTGCCAAGCTGACGGCACCTGGACCCCGAAGGAATTGCCTACTTGTGTTCGTAAGTTCCCAAATTTACGACTCCACATGTTTAATAAATAGGGCATTCCATATCATTACTTTGAAGCGAGCAAAAGGGTCAAAATGTAGTAATTTATTAAAAGGGGCGTCGAAAGCTCCAGCTGTTCTTCTTCAAATTTTTAGCTCCGCTTTATTAGTCTGCCTTAATAAAACCCCTTCGTGGCATTTCTATTTTGTTTGTGGCGTCCGTTTTATGTTGTTACAGCGGTGCAGTGTAGCCCACCAGAAAACCCCCGACATGGCAAAGCAATTTACACGTCTTGCAGTTACAACTCTGTTGTCAGCTATGAGTGCAAGTATGGGTACACCCTTCAGGGGGAAAGCAGCAGGAGGTGTGGAGCAGATAGGAAATGGTCTGGCACTCAACCTATCTGCAAAGGTACACGCATGCCGTTATCGCCCATCATCATCACTTAGTCTGGTCGATAAGTCTACATAAGCCCTCATTTTAGAATTGGTCAAAAAAAGATCCAGTATATTATTTGGCATTTTTCTCTGGGGCGCGAATTCTGGCGCAACCTGTATAAATAAAATAAAACAATTTCAACACAAAAAAGTTTGATGTTATACCTACATACTCATTACGTATTTACTTAATTTTTCTGTAATAAATTTCTACTTTAAAATGTTACATATTTTTGGTAAGAACAATTTCATTACTAGTGTTTTGTTAAATCACATTTTACATTCTTTGTTGTTTTTGTATCATGTTCTTAAATAAATCTTAAATCGAATTTTCATGTATATTCGTTCTAGTAGGGACTTAGAGAGTTAAATAATAGTAGTTTATTATAGAAGTGAAGAAAAATTGTTCATTATTGGTGAGTGATGTATTTTATTAAAAGAAAATTAGAAATGTTCCAATTTATATAGTTGCTGATTTCTTAAATTGACATTAATTATTATTGTCTTGTAAATTTGTCATGAAATGAAAAGCAACTAAAACGATGAAAATTCCATAACAAACGGTCGTGATGTATTTAAAAGTAACAAACTGAAATGTGTAAAGTGTAATTATTGCATTTTTTTCATGTGCCATTGTTGTTTTTAACAAATTGAGTGTGTAGTATCACGAGTACGCAAGATCCTTCATTGACGCATCGTATCTAAAATGCAGTTTTTTGCACACTATCCGACCTGAAACAGATAGATGTTGAGTCGTAAAGTGTTGTTTGAGACTCAAGAGCCCCATATAAAAGAATTTTGAGGAAGAAAAAAAAAAGTTTTGTGCTATATTATTTTTTTCACCAATAAGACAAAATAAATCACCAACTGACCATTATTGTATGGAGTTACATAATAGTAGTTTATTATACAGGGTCGCTAAAAAGCATGGATACAGTTAAATATTAAAAAAAAAAGAACCCATTTTAATTAAAAAAAAAACTTAAACATGAAATACATAATTTTTACGCTACAAACGATGTTCAAAATAATTTCCATTGACTTAAGAATTTCTATAAGCTCAATTTCATTTAAATGTACCATTGTTAAACTAATTATTGCACACAAGTTTAATTTTTGACTAATATCCAAGTGGCAGATCGCTAATAATAGCATTTTCGAAGCTAACTTAGTTTTACTTTTCCAGAATTACATTTTTGAATTTTTATTTTTTTTACCTTTTAATAAAAATAAAGGTGGGCATATGTTACATCACAAAATTCAGAAAAAAATGCTCTTTTAAAAATAACTAAATTAGACCCTACGTGTCATTAAAAAAATCAAGTGAGCCTTGTATTTTGAAAATAAATGATGGTAGAAGATTAAAAAAGATCTCAGATGATAGAATTTGAACACTTCTAAGTGTTTCCCAAATTTCAACGTGCTCTGTTAAACCGTTCTGAAAATATTTAGCTGTGTCCATACTTTTTAGCGACCCTGTATGAATAAGTAAAGAAAAGTTGTTCATTATCTGTGAGTGATGTGTTTCTGAAACGAGTGCATAGCATGAGTTTTAGAAAAAAATCAGGAGCAGATAATGTCAACTTTTCTTTACGTGTATAATACAACGTTTTTTCCTATAGGTATCAATGTACATTGATAAATTTTGTTATTAATTTTTTCACCAATAAAATAAAAAAAATCACAAAATGACCAATCGAGTAAGATAAAAAAAACTAAATCAAATCATAGTTCCGCAGAGTAACCATTTCTATCTACGGTATCTAAGGAAGAAACAACAATATTATTGATACCTATAGTTAAAATAAAACATTATGAAAATAAAAAAAATATTTACACAAAATGATTCACTGAAAAACAAAACTTTGTTAAATTACTTTTGACACATGGCTATCTCCAGTATAATATTTCTATTGCATAACTTTTCCATTAATTTTGAAAAGAAATCTATTAAATTAACTGTTATTACATTGATAACTAAACGAATTATAAGTAATTATGTAATTTGGTGACAAATCTACTATTTTGAATTCATAAAACATTGAGCAGATTTGTTAGACATGAGTTACGGTGATTATCGTCTATTTTGGTTATAAACTCTAAATTTGAAAACATATACTCTCAGATTAGCATGCATATAAAAATTACTACTAAAACTAATTGTTAAGTTGACGATATTGTTTTTTTCGAATGAAAATATATTTTTTTTCCAATAAAATAATAAAACCAAATCAGTAACAATGTAAAAAATGTATACTTACTTACTTACTTAGATGATAAAAAATTACAAAATGTGTATTCTTTTCATAGCCGGCAAGAACACACTTATTCTCCTTCAAATATCACTTTAATAATCTGGTTTAAAAAATACTGCTCTTTTAGCAATTTTAAAATTGAGGGTTGTTTGTAACTTGTTGATCAAACAATTAATTTCCTTTGCGCATGAGTAGAGATTAACTGTGGACACCCTGGACGTCTGTGGAACGGTTGGCTGGAAAATATCGAGGGTGGTACCGGTTTGGGTGCTTCCATAATTTTCCGGTGCCATGAAGGAATGTTACTTGTGGGCAACACTTCGACAGTCTGTCAAAGCGACGGAAAATGGAGATATCCTCTACCAAAATGTTTGGGTAAGTCTTGGAGCTGTCTCGCTTGTTTTTCCTCTTTTGATTCACGTTCATTCTTTATCAAAAAAGTGATTACTCTTTTGCTATACCTATTGTGGATTTTGCAGCTCCGTGTGTGGTACCTCATGTGTCCCAAGGGCGGGTGATTTTGGTTTCGAAAAACGATACAGCGCCTACGTCTACTGTGGTTCAGCATGGAGAAGCATTAGAAGTGAATTGTGAGTATCAGTACGAGTTTTTGGCAAGTACGTCGGCAGTGACTTGCAATAATGGTACTTGGACGCATATTCCGAAATGTGAACCAGCCAGGTTTGCACTTAAATTAAACTAAAACAAAGTAAATGAAACTATTGGTTTGAAGATGTAAACATTTGCCGAAACCACCTAAAAATGGAATGGTAATCGCTCCCAAGATGAACCATAATATGAAGGCTAGGTTCAAGTGTAAAGATGGGTTCCAAATCAAGGGACATCCCCTAATTGAGTGCTCTTTTGGTAACTGGACGGGAGAAATACCCAAATGTGAAGAAGGTATTCGTGGGGATAAGTTATATTGTAATTAAAATTCAATTTTAGTTTATTGTCCATATCCTGGGTCGGTTTCTAATGGTAAAATTCTACTGGTCGGTAATATGGGTCTTTACGATTATCGCCCATACGTCCGAAAAGTCACAAACAATAAACAAATTATGTATGATTGTGACAAGGGCTACGTTTTAGCTGAGGGCCCTCCCGGAGCGACGTGTATAGGAGGCATGTGGAGTCCTTCACAACTACCAAAGTATTACAATTAACTTTATTTTTTCTCTTTGAAAATTGTTTGTAGATGTGTTCTCGGACAACATCCCAGATTACGGTGGAATCGTCGAAGAAGATCAATTGTGATGGAAAAATACAAAAGAGCTTTCATACGCCACCATAAACTTATCTACGAACAACGTGAAAAACGATACGTCCATAATTACTTGGATAATTTAAAAGACCAGCGTCGATTAGAGGCGAAAAAGCGCTTCAAACGGGCACTCAAAGGTGGGAGCAGCAGTCGAGCTTTTGGAACGTCGCATAAAAGCTCCAATTCGCAAATAAGTTTAAGAAGAGGCAACAAAAAGAATTATAATTATTACGAAGAGGAAAAACAAGAAGAAATTAAGAAACCCAAACACAAAGTACGCGGACCTTGTGAACCTCTCTCCAGTGAACCATACGTTAATGTCGAGATTGTCAAACATGGAAGAGACCCAAATGTGTCTTTCAGTTCGGGAACTATCGTTAAAATGGCTTGTGGAAAAGGTTATGGGTTAAACATGCCCGAAAATAAAACAGCTAAATGCGTTCGGGGACGGTGGAGACCAACTAGACCCACTTGTTCCATATGTGCGTAAAAATTTTGTTTAATAAATTGTTTTAGTTAATATTGTTTCCAGTGCCATGCTTTGTTCCAAGTATTGAAAACGGCGTTTTCAAACTGTCCAAAGCCGAATTTTTCTTAAATGTTACAATCGATATAGATGAACCTCTCAATGAAACTATTGAAATCGGTAATGGCCAAGTGGTCGAATTCGGTTGTGTCGAAGGGTATAACATCCAGGGTCCCAGTAATTTGCGATGTTGGCACGGAGACTGGACTGTGACCAGTTTTCCGGAGTGTACAGCTTCCCCTTGTCAATTACCTCAAATTACCAATGGGCAATATTTGATGGGTTACAGGGCGGGTCTAACCATTGCTAATGGGTCAAGCGTAAATTTCCAATGTGACAGCGACTACAGCAAGTCAACAGCTCAACCCATTCAATGCATTTTAGGCGAACTATACCCAAAAAGTCCTTCCTGCAGACCTGAAGAAGGAGTAGATGTGAATAGTAAAGTCATAGATTCGCCTCATTTTATCGGAGGAGCGGATATCATCAAGGGTGGTGATATAACAGTTCTGCAATACGGATCGCCGTCTAAAGCATGTGGTCCTCCTGCAAAGTAAGTCTCGACGACTTGTTTCCAAAATCCAATATTTTTTTCTAGAGTTCAAGGTTCATTGGTTTACAAAAATGGAGAACCGATAGTAGACGATGAGAATAATTTTCCAGACGGAACTGAAGTTACTTTTAATTGTATTGAAACCATAATGGGTGAAAAAACCACGTGGAAAATTGTATGTGAGGATGGTAGTTGGATTGGTCGATCTCTAAACTGCGGTTGGTTCAGTTAAAAAATGTTAACTTCTGTTTATGCATAGATTTGCAGATACCGAAGAATTAATGGCATCCCAAATAGTTTACAACAACAACACTTGTATTTTTAGAAATCAAGAACCTAATGTGATTTCGTTCTACAATGACCAACAAATTCGTGAAGAAGTTGTTGAATTTCCTGCTGGTGCTGTTCTTGTTAGTAGATGTGTAGATATAGGAAAGTATTCAATGACAGGATCCAACACAAGAAGATGTTTAGGAGGGGAGTGGGATGGTACCAAACCTGCTTGTTTTGGATTGAACCAGGAAAACGACTATTCTATGGAGAAGCCTCCTACAATTTTATTTAGACATCAGTTAGGCCCTATTGCCCAGTCTAATGATGGCAAATTAATTGTATATCCTGGAACAATTTTACACATGGAATGTCTCTGGATTAGAAGATTTGGAAATCCCAAGTGGACCGTTAGCCACGATTATAGGTGAAAAAGTTGTAAAAAACTTTAGAACATGTAAGAACCATTGATCTGTTTGTAATAGAAAATATCCTGAAGGATGGACCACTGACCCAGGCCGAGACTCCCAATTAGAATATCGTCTTTCTATCTTCCATGCGTCTAAAGACGATTCCGGACTTTTTACTTGTTTCACTCCCGCCAGATACTCCCATTCTATAGAAATAGAAGTGAAAGGTAATAGTCTCAAGTAACACCAAGACTTCACTCACGAGTTATTCCATGTCAAAACGATCACTTTTAGAACTCATTGTTTCTGATTTTCGTAAATTTGGGATATATTATAGAACGTGTAAAAATAAGTGACACGTATTTCACCGTTTTTTATCTTTTCAATGTATGTTGAAAAAACAGGGATGTACGAAATTAAGTACCTCGGAGCAAAAAGAATTTTTATGTAAAGAACAAATCAACATATTAAAACGATTTTTTTTTAATAGTAGATATCACGTCCGTGATAATACATGCATTCTAAAAATTTGTTATTAACAAATAATTTAAAAATATATTGTTTAAACAAAAAAACAATAACGCAGGTTTTTAAAATTCTGAAAAAATTTATAAATGAACTCTCATATTTTTACTATATGTCTTCACATAAGTTTCGAGACGGACGTTTTAAAGATGGCTGAAAAAAAATTTTTTTTGGGAGCGCGGCATAGTGCATGATCCTCTAAGATCGCCTGAACGTAGCATTTCTTTGGAAATTAAATAGAAAAATTACCAATTACCGTCACTAATAAACTGTTCTAAAGAAAACACATAATTTCCAATAATTTATTAACATTTATTTTTCAAAAAATATCAATAATAAAAAACAAATTCTTCGGTAGAAGTAGAGTACTCTTTTTATTTTATTATCTGATATTGGAATAAAAATATGTAGATTTTGCGTACCTTTTAGGGGCTTTGCTTGACTAAAACGATCATTCAAAAATTTTCAATGTCTTTCAAATTGTCTATTAGAAATATAGCAAAACGTAATATGTGAAATATTTGTGGCGGGTAATTAAAACCTTTTGATAAAAGTTGAATTCTTTTACGGTCCGAGCGGGTTGCGCCATAAGAAGAATAAATTTATTTGAGATAGGTTCTCCAGCGTTATATTGTTATCTTTGTTATCTTTAGGAAAAATGAAAGATTTAAGCAGTCAGAAATCCAAGTATTTAAATAAACTATAACAGTTTATTAAACAAACTAAAGTTTAGAAAATATTATAAAATAAAATAAAAGAAAATCAAATAAAATAATAAACATTGTACTATTCCGTTCATGTTAAAGTTTACATTCACCAAATTAAAGAAACTACTCATTAACCACATAAAGTAATAGTTTAGTATCAAACAACTAACTTAATTCAATTCCTACTAGCTACGAGTATGTCCAATATAAGTAAAAATGTTCAACCAACTTATTCCTAATGAATAAGCTTTTAAGTAACATTAAATAATATTGAGTGAATTAACCATTATTCCTAAATTCGAATGCAAGGGGAGAAACAGTTCCAGGAAAGGATCAGTTATTCAACAGCCCAAAACCATAGGGGTTTAGAAATCTCGTATTACCCGATTACTCGCCCAGTCCATCCCAACTCTCATAAATCTTATCATAGAATACCTTATTGTTACTTACATTGAAACACGAGTTGTCAACAAGATATCATAAGTTAAACTTTGCAAAATTATGAATGTTGTCATCGTCGGAGCAAGGAGAAATTAAACTGAATAAAACTTGCAGTTCATTATCTGGGCAAATTACAGAATCAGCAAGCAGTCGAGTTCAGCTAGGTAGTGGAAACAGCACTTAGTCGGAATTGGCACGAAGGGCACTTCTTCACACACACACACCATCGAACAGCACGATCAAGATTGAATTCCCCCTCATTGAGTTTTGGGTTGTACTTATATTGAAGACCCCATTGCCCTTTTGAGCCGAGGTCGCCTTTTTGCCCCCTTTTTCTGATAATTGTGATTACTTGGAATACTTACTTAGATAATTTTTAGGGTTTGTAATTAAATGAATTTTTCGTTATCCTGCTTCACTTTTGACCTTTACATCCTGGATGCGCTCGTTATAGTGGGGTTCTCAAGAGTTTTGTTCTAATTTTAGTAATAATTTGTCATGTCCAGGACCGTTTATGAATTTTGGTCATTCTTTGACCTTAGATAGTGTGGGATTGTTTATCAATTTGCTCCAAACTATTTATTGGGGTGACTACTTAGTTGGGGTGGCTGACTTGTAACCTTTGGGCGGATATGCTATTTTCTGGGAAAATTTCCTTATCTACTGAACTTTTATGGAGTTGTCTCGTGACCTTTGTGGGTGGGTATGAGTTTCAATTAGTTATTGTTGATTTACGTGGTCGGTATTTTGTGATAAAATTAGGTAGATCAATTTACTTTATATTGGTAATATAAATTACATCTTCTTCTCTCGTCTACATGATTGTTCCTTTCCTTTTACCTTGCAATAAAATTACGAGTAGGTAGGCCAATTTGGCCCCCCACATTTTTGTGATTATATCCGATAGTTTAAAACATAATACGGTAGCCGTTCGCCTGTTTCAGGAAAAAATGGTAATAGAGTTTTTGAAAACCCAATATGCACTCGTCAATAAAATATTATATCTATAATTTGACTTAACATCAAAAAAAAATATGAGTTTTTACATAATTTTTTTGAGAAAAAAAAAACCTGCGTAATTGTTTATTTTTTGTTTAAACAATATATTTTTAAATTATTTGTTAATAACAAATTTTTAGAACACATGTATTGTCACGTCCGTCCGTAGTGTACCTGCTTATATCTATTATTTAAAAAAGTCGTTTCAATATGTTAGATAATTTTTTTTTGCTACGAGATACTTAATGTTGTAGGTACATCCCGTTTTTTCAACATACTTATAAAAATAAATAAAAAACGGTGAAATACGTGTCACTTATTTTTAACGTTCACACATATCTCAAATTTATGAAAATAAGAAACAATGAATTTTAAAAGCGATCGTTTTGGTATGTAGTTACTCTCAACACGTTTCTAAAAATACAAATTTTCTTCTTCTTCAGCTGTCCATTGCCCAATTGTCCCCCAACGACGCGGCTTAACTGTCAACACTCAAAGCACAAAAATGAACACCCATTTGAAATTCTCCTGCGTAAACGGCAACGCTCTTATTGGTGCATCAGAAATAACGTGTCTTCCTTCCGGTAACTGGAGTGCTCCATTTCCGGTCTGTGAAAGTGAGTATCTGCAAGTCGTAGACTTTTAGAAGTCACATTCTGCTTCAGCTTGATGCACTCGTCACATTTCTTTTTGTTTTGGTTCTTGCATGTGTAGGTATCGAGTGCGGGGAGGTGGGAGGTGTGTTGCCACCTCGCCTTCGTGTTCTGGTCGTTTCTAGAGAGGTTGGGGGCCGTGCTGTGTTTAGCTGCGAGCCCGGATTTGGGCTCAGAGGCCCCCAGGAAACCGTGTGTCAACCAAACGGAGATTGGGCTACACCATTCCCAACGTGCGAAGGTTTGTTGCGGCTTGCACTTAGCTTAGAATTAGAGATTTCACCACCACAGCAAAATAAAAGTTAGAATTGTGCTAATAGCCCAGTCAAATTAGACAAATCGGTGGAAAAAAATCCTAGAGAGTTGGAATTTTTTTTAAAACGCTTTCTTTACATTTGAGTATACATACCAGGTGAATAAAAAGTATGGAACCATGCGGTTTTTTTTTAATCATTTGTCTTCAGAAAATAATAATTAATATAAATTAACGTAATATAAAAATTAGATCGTATTTTGAAAACCAAATTTTGTCTTATTTTGAGTTCTGCGATTTTTTTAGTCAAAATTGCAATTTATGAAAAAAAAATTTTTTGAAAAAATTAAATATGAAGTAGATAGTTGTGATCCTTACATCATAACCTTTTTGAGAAAAATAGTTTTATTGTGGGTTGCTATTTAAAAAAAGATTTTTTTGTAGAACTCAAAAACAAAAGAAAATTTTGAAAAATTTTATTGTTGATAAAACATCATAACTTTTAAAGTACTTTATCGTTCATCAATTAGTTTTTCCAAAAAATTAATAGTTTAAGCAAAAAACGTTTGGTTCCATACTTTTTATTCACCTGGTATATCAAAAGTCCCCGATGGTGGGGGGCGAGCTCGAGGAGGGGGAGGGGGTTAAAGGAGCCTTTTTTTGGTTTTTTTGCTTATATCTCGAAAATTATCACTCCTATAGGTTTTTATTTTCTTATCAAAATTAAAGCTTACAAAATTTCCTACAAAAATGGTCCTTTGCATTTTTGTTGTAGGACTAACCGTAAGCGAGTTATAGGGCAGAAAAAACATCATTTACAAAAATGTGTTTTATCTGCATTTAAAACAGAATTAGTCTTACAATTTAAAAAAAACTGACAGCAAATTGAATTTACTGGGTCCAATACTTCATTAAAGAAGGGGAGTCACGAGGGTCTATGAATACAAACTCATCGTTTATGTAATTTATGCAGAATTTTCTGTAGAAGTCTATTTCTGCATCAAAATTTTCTACAAAAATGGTCCTATTCATTTTTGTCGTAGGACTAACCGTAGGCTTCAAAAGTTTGGAGTCTACATAAAATTGCATTAAAAATCCTTTGAAACACATTTTATTAGTTTATGGTAAGTATTTATATGTGTAGAGCGTTCCCTAACTAAGCTGGTCTGCCCGAAAGGTGACTCGGGTGTAAACATTTAAACGGAGATATAAATAAAAATTTTGGATGAAAGAGAGAATCAGTCTGTAAGGGGGTTAGATGGGGTGTAAATGTTTAAACTAAAATATAAACATAAAATTCTTCAGAGGTGTAAAGGGGCACTAAAATCAGATTTTTCGAAAATTAGTTTTTAAGGGAATAAAACAGTGTACACATTTAAAGGGATATAAAAACATCAAATTTAGAAAATATGATCCTCAGAGAGTGTAGAAGTGCACTTTTCAAATTTTAATGAAATAAATTAGAATTTAAACGCTTGAAAACAAAATTAGAAACATGAAATTTCGAATTTTGAGAATGCAGAAGTACACTGAGACGACACTTTATGAAAATCAACATTTAATATTTATCCATAAACGTAGCCCATGCGAAGAACAAGACTACTATAACTAAATCCTATACATAACATAGGTAATTATATAGCTTTATAGAGTACCTAAGCCTATGGAATGGTTTTGTGAACGGGCTTTTTCCCATTTTATATCAGAAATACACGTGGACAAAGTCGCAGGCAAATGCTAGTTCAGCATATAAGGACGACTCGGAAGACTTTATAGACTCTCTAATGATGTGTTACACCCAATAAATTCAATTTGCTTTCAGTTTTTTCAAATCACAAGATTAATTCTGTTTTAAATGCCGATAAAGCACATTTTTTTTAATGATGTTTCTTGTCAGCCCTATAACTCGCGTACAGTTAGTCAGTCTTACAACAAAAATGCAAGGGACCGTTTTTATAGGAAATTTTGTTTTTAATTTTGATAAGCAGGCAAAAACCGTTAGGAGTAATAGTTTCCGAGATATAAGCAAAAAAACAAAAAAAGACACCTTTAGCCCCCTTTTGATATATGTCTACCCAAGAATAAAGAAAGCGTTTAAAAAAATTCCAACTCTCTAGAATTTTTTTCTACCGCTCGCCCTATTTTTGTCTAATTTGACTAGACTATAAAACTACTCCAGTCTAACTTTTACAGTGCTGTGGGTTGATCACATTGCGTGACACAATTTTATGTAATTGCTTTCGTTTAGAAGTTCAGTGCGACAATCCCGGTAGTCCGGAAAATGGTTACATGCAAGGCAGTGGGCCTTTTAAAGCAGGAGACGTGGTGCAGTTCAATTGCAATCCCGATTTTATGATGGAAGGGCAGCCTATTATAGCGTGTCAGGATAATTCGAGATGGTCGGGGAAATTACCTAAATGTAATTAATTAGTTTCATTGAAATAAATAATCTTGACTTCACATTTTATAGGTGTGCAAGCTTGCTCGTATCCAGGAACGACCATCAGTGGAAAAATGTCTTCAGTTAAGTTCTATTATAAAATAGGAGAGAATATAACCTTTACTTGTGACGAAGGACTGACTTTGAAGGGAGCTGCAATGTTAAAATGTTTGAAGAATGGAAAGTGGTCGAATGCAATTCCCACTTGTGTGACGGAAAATAACACACCCGAAAATGACTAAACTCTCATTGCTTTTATGAAATTGACTGAATCTTTTACAACAACTTAAAATTAATGTGATATCATTGTTTAAGTTTTAGTCCAAAAGAAAAGAATAAAGGGATAAGTATCATCCTTGTCAACTGTTAACATATTAAGACATATCCATTAAATGTACGTAAATTTTATAGAAACATAGAAATTTTTTATAATTCGATAATGTTTAATATAAAAGTATATAAAATATGTTAAATGTAAACCTGACAATGATTACATATGAAATTTGTGCAAATAACAAGTAATTATATCACTTAAGATACATAATCATTAGATCGCTTGTAAGAATATAACTATTACACATAATAATAAAGCATTAGTAAACTACCTACTATTTGCGCAGAAACACTCTCATCTCTACTAGTGCAATAATATTTTATTTTGTAACAAATGTATTATAAAAATTAAAATAAAATTTAGGTTAGTTATAAGTTTAGTTTAATTTGTCTTCCTGGAAAACATCACTTTTGCAATCTCATTAACAAAAAAATGTGATCACAATTAAATTTAAAACACGTGTTATAAAAAACATTGAGAGATAAAAATTAGATAAAATATTGCCTAATGCCTACATTTCGCTAAGGAATTACCACACATATTTTTTACAAAAATCGCTAAGATAAAACAATTCTGTGAATAAGATTTAATTTAACGTAAACACTGAAAAACATCCAAAATTACCAAGTGAAAAAAAACATGTTGTAATGCATCAGACACCAGTAAAGTAGATGAAATTTGTTAATAATAATAAAATAAATAATAATCACAGAAAAATTTTATCTTTCATTATACTCATCGTATACCTGTCTAGCTTTTTTACACAATTCGTTAGGCTTAATTGTATTTTTTCCTTTACCTAAATGTAACCATTAAAAAACTAAGAAACTACAGAAATGCTACACAGGCCTAAAACGAACAATGAAGTGGGATTTCATGTAAAACTTCCACAAAATATAGATAACTGTAATTAATGAATAATTAGAAAGCCCTATCAAAGTGTCAAAACTTTAATAAAAAAACAGGTTTTACCAGTATAATATTTGGTAAGCTGGTGATATCTGCATGATAGGAAGATTAAAAGATTCAGATTAAATGCAAATAATTTATGATATCGAACAGTAGTTATGTAAATTGTTGTCTGAATTACACATTATCGCTGCCTCAAAAAAGTTTTTTTGAAACCTCAGGTAGGCCCCTGTAAAATTTTCTTTGGCCTCAATACAAGTAAGCAAAATTTCGGAACACCTTCATTTGTACATTTATTTAAAAAATAAAACTTTAGGACAAAGAATTTTTGAAATCGACAAATGTATAATTAGATGCCAATTGCAAAACTTTATTCTTCTTTGCAGACATCCAAATACAATGAATTTCCCGTTTTTGATGTTGATTTTACACAACTTTTGTAATAAAAGTTCTCGGTAATACGACTTTTGGCAATAGTTATTGTTAACTATTTACCTAAAAAATAAAACAAATAATATAAAAGACAAATGTTTTCATCAAATATTAGAAGAAGCGTTTATGATTTCCGAGAAAATTTTAGAGCAATTTCCCACCTGATAATGATCTTTTGTTTTCTGGCTTAAAACATTACGATAATAATAGAAAAAATAACAGACAAGTTTGTATAAATACAAAAATCGTTCGAATTTGGGACCATAAAATACACCTATATCAAAAATGAGAACATTCATACTCTTCCTTGTCGTGTTATACACATCAGACGCTTTCTCATTAAACGAAAAATGGGAAAACTTTAAGAAAATTCATGAAAAACATTTTCTTCATTCAAAAGAAGAATATCTCCGAAAATCAATTTTCAAAAAAAAATTACAAGAAATCGAAGACCACAATGAAAGGTATAGGAGAGGATTGGAAACATACGAAATGGGTATTAATAAATTTAGTGATTACACCGAAGAAGAGATGTTCCTTTATACCCACGGTCTTCAACTCCCCTCAGAGTTACCGGAACCCTTCATCAAGATTTCCCCAAACGCGACTGCTATATCAAGAGCAGCTCTTCCAAGCTCTTTCGACTGGAGAAGCAAAGGAGTGGTAACACCGGTCAAAAATCAGCGAAATTGTGGCTCTTGCTGGGCTTTCTCAACGGTAAGTGAATTGAAATTTTAGTGTAAAAAATAATAGTTTTTCTACTTTGCATTCATACTAAGGTCCATTACGAAACTGTTTTGGGTTTCGTAATGAACAAAAACAGTGCTATAAAAATTATACTAAAAAGAGGGAAATTTAGTCTTATAATATTGGCGAGCTAACCGTTTTTCGAACTGTCAGTGTCAATCGGTCTAACGCAAATGAAATTATTCAAATACGAAATTTTTGCTGTGTTTGGTTTAATTAATCATCGCAAAAAAATGTTCCGAATGAACATGATTATAGTGGTGCTTACGCATACCTTTAGATCATAGGACAAAGTTAAATATGTTACTTTTGTGGTTAGGTAGGTTTTGCCGTCAACTTACTGAACAATATTGGCGTGTGATCTCATAGGGAGTAAACTGTTCATCATATTTGCCGTCAAGGTCGGTATTTCTAACGCCGTACATTAAAAAACGTCTTCGACACATTAGAAATTCATTTTTACCAATAAAATGATGACGTTTCAAATTTATTTCATAGCCACCTAGCCAGCACGCAATGTCGCCAACTGCCGGAAAATTCCCTACATTCCAAAATTTTTATTTTTTTGTTTAAAAAAATGCAAAGTATAAAAAATACTGTATGATATCTTGTTTATAAGGCATTTTGTCGCACTTACTGCTTTATGACACTCCTCGCTGCAAAATGCTTCTTATAAAACTCGTATCATAATATACTATTTTGTATTTTGTAGAATGGTGCCGTCGAAGCCCATTACAAAATTCATCGAGGCTCTGTTGTCACTCTCAGCGAACAACAACTGGTTGATTGCGTTCGTAAAGCCTTTGGATGTAGAGGAGGTTGGATGACTGATGCATACATGTATATTGCCAGCAATGGAGGAATTAACTACGACCGGGACTACCGATACACAGCTAAAGCTGGTTCTTGTCGTTTCCAATCATCCAAACCAAAAGTTACTATTCGAGGTTATGCTTATCTGACGGGACCCAACGAGGATATGTTGAAGGACATGGTAGTCACCCAAGGGCCTGTGTCTGTAGCAATTGATGCTAGTGGTAGATTCGCGAGTTATAGTGGAGGAGTGTACTATAATCCTTCTTGTGCGACTAATAAATTTACTCATGCTGTGGTTATCGTGGGTTATGGGAGAGAAAAAGGACAGGATTATTGGTTGGTGAAAAATTCTTGGGGGGCTGATTGGGGACTAGGAGGATACATCAAAATGGCCCGAAATCGGAGTAACCACTGCGGGATTGCTAGCAAAGCCAGTTATCCTGTTTTTTAAATCATATTTGTTGCATAATAAAGTATAACTAAATAAAAATACAGGGCAATTCAAATTTGAGTGGCAGTTTTAAACACAAAAACCCCCCCACAAAAATAAATTTGCAAATCGTAAAAAAGTTTTACGTATTACGACAAATGGCCGTTGCTAAGAAATAGAAATCAAAAAATAAGACGTTTACGTAAACGTCTTTGAATTGAGGGAATACGCCTTTTGCCCTTGAAAGACGTACACATGACAATTAAATGACGTCGTTAAGGTTAACGTTAAACTAAACGGTTTGCAAAAACTCTCTAATACAGGGTGATTCACGAGGAATAATGTGCCTGACCAAATTCTCTATGCAACCACCATTACATTTTCGCAAGTTGCTTTGCGACAAATGTAATGTTGGTTGCATCGAGAATTTGGTCAGGCTCAATATATGAGAGGAAATACCTACTAGAAATCAAAATCAACAATAATCTTTTAACTTTTATTTTATCAATTTGGAGAGCGTAAGTACAGTTTAAAACAATTAACTGAACTTTATTGTACCTAATGTTAATACAAAAAACAAAAAGGCGAAAATAAATAACATTTTTCATTTTGCTGACCAATAAATTATTGCAGAAACAATAACTGGTTTTTTCATATTTACAAAAATACTTTTCGTCACAATTTGAACATTTTGGTTATTGAAATGAGACATTCATTACAGCATCTAGCTGTAATTTTTATGCAACAGACAATATAAATTAAAATTAAATAAAATAAAAAATAAATAAACAAATTTTAAAATTATTTCTTTTAATTAATTTAAAGAATGACAAAATAATCACACTAAATATAAACTACCGCTTTAAAATATGTAATCATTAAATGTGAGAGCAGGAAATACCTACTAGAAATCAAAATCAACAATAATCTTTTAACTTTTATTTTATCAAGTTGGAGAGCGTAAGTACATTTTGAAACAACTACTTAACTGTACTTTATTGTATCTAATGCTAATGCAAAAGATAAAAGGGGAAAAATAATAAAATTTTTCATTTTGCTGACCAATAAATTATTGCAGAAACAATAACTGGTTTTTTAATCTACAAAATTACAAAAACATTTTTCGCCGCTATTTGAACATTTTGGTTACTGAAATGAGTCGTTTATTACAGCATCTCGCATCAGATGATCATTCCTATAAATCATAATACAAGGTGTTTAAGAACTTGCGCCCCAGAAAAAAATGCCGAAGAAGATAATGTAGGTACCAGAAACATGGAAAAAAATGTTTAAAAATTTTATCTGTAAAGAATTTTAAAATTTTATTTTTTGACATTTGACCTTTTTATGTCTATTGTTACCGCTGATCATGTATATGTTTTTCCATAATTATTTAGTACGTACAAAGTACAAAAAGCTTGCTAATAAAACCCACAAATACTTAACGTTAAACGTAGTTAAGTACATCAGCTTCTTTGTTTATCATTTTCTAATAACCTGAAGCGACAAACATGTAAAATAATAAATATGGTGAAAGTGCAAAATTTAAACCCCCAGAATATCGAAATTCTCATAGATACAACTTTTGAATATTGTTTCTATGTTTCTGGTATCTTATCTTACATTTTTCTCTGGAGCGCGAGTTCTAAAATACCTGTATACATTCATTTACATAATACGTTATGACTGTTATGAGTTAAAAAAACAAGTACTTTTTTACGTAATAAAAAATCTATTTTCTGATGAAATTTTTAGAAAAATCCAAATCACGTCCTGTTTTTAAATCGTCGAAGTAGTTTTATACAGATAAAAACACTTCAGATAAATTTCCGAGAGGTGAGAACATGTAAATCATTTCATTAAACCATACTGATACTACAATGAAAGTTTGTATATCCATCGTGTTATTTTTCTTCTACATCTGTGCTCACTCAATTAGATCTAACAATTTTGAAAAATGGGAAAACTTTAAAGTATGTAAAATGAAACGAAACTAAAAATCAACATTTAACAATTTTCAGAAAATATTCAACAAAACATATAAGAGCAAAACTGAAGAAAACCATCGTCAAACAATTTTTTTCAGCAACCTCCAATTGATTAAAAGTCACAATCAAAAATATAAGAAAGGTGTTGTATCTTATGCACTAGAAGCAAACCATTTGGCGGATAGAACAATTAGTGAAATAACCAAATCATCGCGTTTAAATGAGATGCCACAAATCGGAAATGGTAAGAAGTTTCCACCAAAAACTGAAGTTCCTGAAAGTATCGACTGGAGAGATTATGGTGTTATTACGCCAATTGTAGATCAAAACTACTGCTTGTCGTGTTGGGCTTTTGCTGTGGTAGGAACATCATTTGTTATAGGTATCTAATTTAATATTTTTTAAAATTCAGGTAGCAGCAATAGAAGGCCACGTAGGTATACACCTTGGCCAAAAGAACCAAACGCTGAGTCAAGAAAACCTAATCGATTGTGTGTACTCAGATTTTCACTGCAAGCAAGAAATGAAAAGATCTGCTTTGGTTGATTGTTATCAATATATCATCAACAGTGGTGGAATCGATACTTTGGAATCTTATCCTTATGATCAACTGCCACCTAAGTGTCGTTTCAAACCGGAAAATATTGGTGTTGCAATCCAAGGATATGTACTATTACCGAAGGTGATGAAAACGAGTTGAAAGTAGTTGTTGGAACTCTTGGACCAGTTTCTGTTATTGTAACGGCTGATCTTAGCTTTACATTGTACCGTAAAGGGATATATTATAAATTGATTGAATGCAAAAGAACAGTATAATCACGCACTTACCGTGATAGGTTATGGTACAGAAGATGGGAAAGATTACTGGATAGTGAAAAACGACTGGAGTCGAATCTTTGGCGAAGATGGATATATCAGAATGGCAAGAAATAGAGGCAACAATTGTGGAATTGCAACATATGATAGTTATCCTATTATTGAAAAAATGGAAAATTAGATTTTGTCAAATTAGAAGATAGTACCTCTAAAGTAATAAAATAAAAAATATACGTATATTTTTGTTTTGCTTTCATGTTGTAAGTAGATGCATATCTCACAGAAAATAGCAATTTTGCATCTTTGCATATTCTTTCATGTAACATTAAAAAGTATGTGATGTCAAAACATTACTAAAAAACATCATTTCACGTAAAGTTACGGAATTAAAATTTCGGGCAGTATTTTTCTTTCACTTCATAAAGTTCACTGTAAACTACCTTTTACTGTCATCATGACTGACATTTGACAATTAAACTTTTCTGTCAGTGACGCTATTTTTTAAATCAAAATGACATAAACATGACAAGAGTAAAAAATGAGGTTATTAATGTAAAGGTTGCTTTAGAGTTTTCATTATGAAAATGATAACACTGTCCGAAATTTTAATTCCGTAACTGTAAGTACACATGATTTTCATTTCAAATTTCAAATTACCGAAACTTTACATCAAGCTTTCCCCAAATGTGATCACCAGATGAAAAAGTACTTCCTTCCGTTTAAAATGGTTTTAATTAGTTTCTTCTACATCCAGTTCGGTTTATCTATTATTTTGCAAAAGTAAATAATGATTTTTATCTAATCTTCTTAAAGTGTCTGTCCTTTCTATTTCTTATTAAAGATCAAAATCGCAACAATAAATAAATAAAAATAGAATGTGCTGATTTTGGTCACATATTGAAACATAGAGTTTATATACCAACAAGAAAATTATTGTGATAAATAATATACCGGGTGTCCCAGGCAGGCTTGAATATAGGAAATTAATATGGAAAATTAGTTTTTATTTTTTTCCGGCTGCAGAAGTAACCAAAATCAAAATCTGATTGATGGAGCTTGGAGTGCTTGAAGCGGACTATTTTATCGATATTTTTGTCGATTCTCCAATTAACTCCATTTGGGCGGAAACGACCCTCAAAAAATCAAAATTTGAATTTGCCGGGTTGGCGTTACTAAGAAACTAAACTATTATATTAAGTCATTGTTGTCAAACGTGAATTTGTCAGAATCTGACTTGATAGTTCGTTTCTTAGTAACGCTACCCGGCAAATTCAAATTTCGATTTTTTGAGGGCCGATTGTGTCCAAATGGAGTTAATTCAAAAATCGACAAAAATATCGATAAGATAGCCCTTTTCGAACACTACAAGCTCCATTAATTAGATTTTAATTTCTGTTACTCCTGCAGCCGAAAAAAAAATTAATTTCCCATGTTAATTTTCTATATCCAAACCTGCCTGGGACAGCCGGTATATCTATTTGGAAAACATCCTTACAATAATTTAGTGTTGGACATCCGAGTAGCAAACCTAACGCATGGTCAACTTCATCTGTCTTCCGCTGCGCTCCATACGGCCGTAACATACTGTCGATTTTATACAGATTTGTCAACAAGAAATTACCACCTAGGATTTGAATTTTTAGGAAAATTACGTTTTGCATGTTGTTTGTAGCTTGAATTTTCAGAAGTAATTTTGAATGCCTAGAGTTGGTTACCCCTTGACGGTTGACGTTTTCTGTCAACCTGCTGTCAACTATCAATTGAGTTATCTATACAATCTGACAGGTGACTTAACCTAAATTTTTGACACTAGTTACGATATCTTTTGTTTGTCACTACAAACCAACCTAACCAAATTTAGGGCAACCTATTCACAAATATCCCTAAATCCTAGGGAGTAATTTCTTTTTGATACGATAATATGAATGCGTTGAATTCTACTAACCTCAAAAAATCGTCCGGTAACAAGCGTCATCTACCTGATGACTTAAAGACTATAGCTATTTCAAATTTGACAATTTTTGTCAAATTTTCAATCATTCTTTTAAAAAGTTCAAAGATCGGCAAGAAATGTTTTGTTTGTGGAGAAAAAGATACTTTATTTGAAATACTTAGCGATATAGCAGCTCGTGCTGAATGGATAAAGAATACTCTGGAACTTTGTGGTAATTCTATGAGCAAAAATTAATAAAAACATTTACCTAAGTTCCTACTGCTTATTTGTAATAGACAGAATGCTCTCAAATATACATTCATATTTGAGTTTCTGTCTTATTATGCTATAAACCCTCTCTATTATCGGACTTAGTTTTCCAAAAATTTTTTAGAATTAGAATGGAAATAGCTACTTGTTCCAG